TTTATGAACTGAGAGGTCAAGATGAAATACATTCCATCAGCTGTGCTCTGGAAATAAAATGAAAGGCCTCCATACTTGTAAAAGTAAACTAGATCCTTTTGAAGGAAAGGGAGCATTGCAGAATCTAAACTAATTTCCTTTGTAATATCCCATCTTCTGTTCAGGCTCCATAAAAATTGTTATCTCTTTCCTTTTGGTAAGTTTTATCAAGTTTTTTGCGTCTTTTTCCACTTGTTTGGGCTGAAATCAGCCTGTGGACATGTCATCTTTATCTCATGCATTCTATATACCTACATGTAGCACCTATCTTTAGTCAGCTCTTAAATATCCTGGAAATACCTTTTCCCCCACCTCCTTCAAAGAGTCCATTGCAGCAAAACATACTTCCTGAGTACCAAAAAAGATATACTGAAGCACGTTGGTAGGTTTTTTTCTGTTCCAAAAAGTTGCCTACACTGTAGTCTAGACAGCATATGCAATGTAACCACCCCAGCCATGAGTTTTTTGGGGAGTACCTTATCATCACTTCATTGGACTGGTATGTATCTAACAAGGCTGCCTTCAGTACTAGCTTCACCATAAAGCTTCCTGATGGCTTTTGAACAGATTGCAGGTCCATCTGCTGCCCCAAGGTGAGCTGACAAACTCACTCTGCAGCAGAGAACATGGCTCCTTTTCAATTTGAGCTTATCTCCCTTCTGTGCCCACCAGAGCACTGCAAGCTCCACTGAACTGCTTTGCCTCAGCGCTGCTCCTTGCTGTCCTTCTTAGGCACCGTGACCTCAATTGTTATACTTCCACCCTTTCCACAGCAAGACTGAAGGTGCTAAAGGATAGTGCTGGTCTTGCGACTTCCCCTGCTCTTTCAGATACTTTTTGACCATACTAGATCTCTTAACTATGACAAAGACCCACAGCTGTATCAAATCTGGAAACAATCTATTTCCATGCCCTGGGCTGGATGTGTTCCTAATGATGCAGTTTCTCCGGTTCTAGGCGGAGTACTTCAGATGTCACATGCTGTTTTCATCTCCAGTTTTTGACATAGCTGTCACCTTAGTTTGACATCCTGCTCCCAGTGCCCTACTTGGAGTTGTTACAACTTGGTACAGCTCTGAATTCTTTTTTCACTGAGGCCTCCTTCTGCTGCACAAAAAGCAATATCAAATGCAACCTTCATGCTTGAGGTTCCCTCCAGCCCTAGTTTCTATCGACAGCGAAATGCCTCTTGCATCATGCTGAGGGCCAGAAATGCTTTTGGTGTTTGGGGGTTTTTTTGTTTCTGGGGTTTTTTTTGTTTCTTTGTTTGTTTTTTTTTTTAAAAAAAAAAGGCATCTCCTGAAACCCATAGCAAAGGTCATCAAGGGCTGATACTTCTTTTTCATATTAGTGTCATGATCCAAAAACTTAGAACTGTAAGATTATCTATACCTTATAGAAGTACTGAATAAGTATTACAGTTAGGACTTTTTACCTGATGTTTCTGATGGATTCTATTTTATGGAGGCCCTGGATGACAGTCCTAAGAGAGATGTCAAATTCTGATTATCATTTCTTTTGACAATCTATCTAGTAAAATATATAGGTCCTCAAAAGCAATTTTTTTGACCTTATACTTTGAGATCTGAGAGTGCACAGGACTACACAGCAATCTGTCAAAAGTAATACTTATCTCTAACATGAACTTGAAATTATTTGTACACTGAGTAATTTTTATTGTTTATTTTTAAAAGGAAGACTTATAGTATTTGTCCATAAGTTTAGCTGACAGCAATAATTATGGCTAATGAAGACAAAGGGACAACATTTTATAAAGCTTCTCATTATGACCTGACTGAATCATCTGAAGTGTTCTATTTTCAGTGTGCATTTTATGTTAAAATAGCCTTGCTCTATCACAAGTAAAACAGTTAAGTTTATTGTAAGGTCTCTTTCAACTGGAGAGAAGAGACACGTATAAACTAAACTATTTTAAAACTTCCTTTATTATTAAATTAATTCTGGTAACATCCTTCTGCCTAATGCATTATGCATTTCAAAGTCTGGGAATTAAATACTATCTCATTGCTCAAGATTCAAGAGCTATTTTAAAAGTTTACTTTGTATTACAAAGTGTCAGTTGAAAGTACCTGTGTTTATTATGGTCAAATATTTTATTACAAGGTGTCCCACTAATCCAAGACAAACACGAAGGTAGCTTACCTGGAATGTTTTCAGAGAACAACTTAAAGACCAAGATGATCATTATGTATGACTTTGAGGATAAATTGCAAATTTTAAAAGCTATTATTTAAACCAAGTTATTCTTATATTAATGCACTTAAGTGTTCTTCATATTTATTATAGTCAAGATCCAGGAGGTTGCAGGCCTCCAGCAGGGTAAGAGCCTGCAAGAGCAATACTTCCTGCAGCTTCATCAATAGGTTCCCCTTGATCAGGCAGCCTGTAGCAGACACCAACCACAAGGTTCCCTTTGTTGCCTCAGATCTAATTCTTACCCATAAGCCTTCAACATGCTCGTGGCTGTACTCCAGAAACGGAGGAATATATATTCCCTATAATTGGTGATAGGGAATCACAGATCTTTCCATAAGCAAAGGAGTATGGTCTCTCATAGGTTCCGTGTCACATCTGACAGTCCCCCCTGTCAACACTGTAACAGATTTTTAAAAAGTAAAATAAATCAGGTAGTGCAGTATTGAATAATTATAAGTGAATTTTACTCTTACACTTGTTATCAACTTATTTTGCTTGTATAATCAGATTTCATAAATTATATACTAGCCAGTAGCTTAGTTAAAAAATTCTACCCAACGTTCTTATAATCTGCAATAGAAACAAGCATAAAGTAATCACACAGGAAACAGTGAGATAGAGATTTTACACATCTCTAGTAATTCAGGTCTTTTCTCATGCTAATACTAGAATTGCTTAGATTTAGCAGCAGAAGACACATCATGGAGGTAGCATAATACAAAATGAGAAACTTTTAATATCTGTGACAAAAATGATAGTATTAGCATTCATAGCATAGACTATAACATACCATATTTCCATTACTTAAGAGTAGCATTTATTTGATCTATTCTGAGCAATTCTGGATAGAAAGATCTAATACATGGACACAATCTTATTACAGCATCTGAGACTGTTAGGACTATTGCTGCCTTTCCTGCTCCCCACAGGACTTCTAGGTACAGACTGTAAGGACACATTCATGTTTAATTATTATGAAAGCGCCACATAAAGAATGAGAAGGGAGTTAAATCACTGTACAAAGATTTAAACTGGGAGACAGTAAGGTTTTAATAACACTCTGCATGTGAATTATACTTCCAATAACACATAAATGTATTATGAAGCTTTAGCTGGTATAAGGCAGTTTCTTATGGCTTAATGTGTTTGAAAAGAGAATGGCTGTACTTTGTGGTAACAGTAGTACCAATTATGAATCAAACTCGTAGTTTAATTTGCTTAATTATAGCTGCAGTTAAGGCAAAAGCCACATTCAAACACTTTGTCTTCAGTTTGTGAAAGTGGAGAGACAACATTTGTTTCCTCATATTTATTGGAGTAGAGTAACAACACCCCAGCCTTTTGCTGCAGTGCCGTGCCTCTCCTCCCAGCCATGCTGCAGCCATCTCCTGCCACCCACCACATGGACATGGCGGTTCCTCCACAGCCCCATTGGCCCTTTCCCTTGTTACCTACCACAGCACCTCCAGCCTTACCTCCGTATCCCAGGATAGCCGACCTTGCAAACGTTACCAGCATCCACAGGAGAGGGTAGAGATGTAACTCTGACAGAAGCTAAGGCAGCTTCCCTTATGAGGCATCTGTGCCCAGGTGTTGGCGGGAATCACTGTGAGGAGAGACCAGGTCTGCCCCACACCTGACACAGCTGGAGCCAACAGTTCCAGCCGGCCCCACAGCCCCACCACGGGCCACAGCTGAAGCTGATGGTGCCTCTGTGGTAACAGACATAAGAAGAAAACTGCACAGCTGTGAGGACTCAGAGAAAAAGTGTGAGCACTGAGCCCTGTGAGGACCCAGGTCAGAGATGGAGGAGTGGGTCTGGGTGCCCCAGCAGAGACTCACCTGCAGCCCTCGGAGAGACCGTGGTGGAGCAGATATTTTCCTGAAGCTCAGGGGGCTGCATAAGCTGAGAATAGCAGGTATCCTTGGCTTTGTCACAAGCCATGTGAGTTGTCCTGGAAAAAACCCAACCTGCTAAGACCACCTTGTCTCAGCAAGCAAAAGCAACAGCATCAACAGACATTTTTAAACTGTCTTGTGGTGGCCTCATGTAAGAAGTTGCTTACTCTTCAGATTCTTTTTTTGTTTTACTTACTAGCAAGGAGAGGAGCAGCAGCTCTGCTCTTCCAGTACAGTCACTGCAATAAGTAACTTAAAATGACAGCCCCTGTGTTGGTGGACTGGACTCTACCTACAGGCTAATTAAAATCCCTCTGCAAGCAAAAGTGACATTTTAGAAGAAAATATTTTTATTGTATTATAAGATTTCTTTACCTTATATGATGTAAGCATTATTCTGTTAAAAAGGCCTCATTGCAATCCTGACTGCAGGGGAGCCATGACAGAGCCTGGCAGCTCAGATTTGTCCTGTTTCTTTTAGGTTTTAAGTAGCATTAAATAGCAATCTTCAGCCTCAGCTCCCACCCCTACATCTGCTTTAGCTCGAAATGAGCGAGAACATCCAAAATTTACACAGACAGACCCCTTTTGGACTCAGGACAGCTGCCAAGCCTTCAGGAGCCACTGCTATTATTCTGTTCCCACTGCTCCACCTCTGAGAAGGCAACCACAGTATTTCATGTACATTTAATACCAAAATGAAATATTTATTACTCTTTCCAGCTTTAAGTTCTGTTCAGCGTTTTATCTCAAACCTCAAATTGGCACAAAAAAAAAAAACCCAAACATACAACTGGAAAGATTTCAGTCCCTAAACCCATGAAAGCTGAAGTGGGTTACTTCACAAGATGACAATTAGAAGTTTATTTGTATTGTAGATAGTCAACCGTCTTACACTCTAAATCATCTCATCATTCGGTGGTACAGAAACTTTTAAAGAGATGTTAAAGGATTTGAATCTGCATTATCTCATAACCCTTACCCAATCTGTCAATAAATCAATGTATTGTTCATAACTGGAAGTGCCTGGCGTATTCTTCTGAACTGGCTACACCAACAGGAAGACTCATTTTAAAGTCCCTGAGCATTTCAGGGCATGAGGGGACAAACAACTTAAGACAAGCTCACAGAATTAAGGGGAGTTGCTTAAAATATATATTTACACACACAAACAGAATTAGAGTTTGAAAAACCAGAGGTAGTATCAGGAACATCCTGCAGTACAAGGGGAAATGTCTCACCTGCCACAGACTCCAGCCCCGGCTTCAGGTAATTCCATCTATTCCCCACCAGACTTCTTTGAAAAAGTAATATGCTGATACATTAAGAACCCCTTCTTAGAGTAAGCAACTCTAAATCCCACATGTCTGTCCTCTCCTATTGCTTCCTCTGAAACTCTACCCTCCAAGCTCAGAAAAAAAAAAAACCAAACCCCACATAAAAATACATTTTGAATTCCTACCAGAAGTCTGCTTTCTGTTATGTTAACCACTGGCTAGTCAGCATCCTTCCCTGGCTTTAAGGCGAACAGCTTCCAAGAAGTGGCCTTCAACTCATTCAAATTGCAGAGGCTTTGTTACAGAAATACTACCCTGCAAGTGACGAATTCCAGTTGGATGTTGATATTTCACATTATTCCCACATGTTAAACATTTAAAAACACACAAGTCACTTAAGCTTTAAGCAATGTGCTAAAATACAAAGACCAAAGTTTTTCCTTTATTAAGGCTTCAAAGAGACAGTATTAGTTCTGCTCACTTCTGCTTTTGCTGAAACAGGTGATTCACATGTCCTTGGCCATTAATCCCTATAGAATATTCAGCTTCCACCTCATTAGTCATATGTGTTCTTTCCAGCATAGACCCCTCCCATTTAACTGAGCCTCATGTGTTTAAACAAGAGGGGCTTCCATCAGCACCCATCTCCTCTCCCTCCCTTCTTGCTGACGGGGTAATGGATCTTCACAATTCTTGTAGGTCCATATATATAAGAAGTAGGACTTGTTCCTATTTTTAACAATGCCCGCTCATTTCAGAAGGTTAAAAAAAAAAAACCCACAGTAAAATCACATCTTATTGTATGCAACAGACTAATAAAAAGGCTATGTATCAGCATAAAAGCCAAAGTATAACTCCTAGTTCTGCTTGTGGATGAAGTTATGCAAAGCCTCCTGGTGTTAAACATCTGGAAGGCAAGAACAACCCAGCATGCTATAAAGTGATAGCCTGGCTCCTGGCAGCTCCTTGCTTGCAGAATGAAGCATATATTCCAGATAAGTAGCGCTGCTTTCCCCTGTGTCAGCAGCTCCTGTGAACAGGTCCAATCCATCCAGGCAAAGAGGACACACACCTTCCATTTCTCAACCATGGTATACTTGAAGAACAGCACTCACGTTTCAGTCTACATATGTGGAGAATAAAATTAAACCAGATGGACAGGATAGAACTGTAGGAAAGTCCTTCAGGCATGTCCTTGTCCAGTCTTTTTTTTTTTTTTAATAGAGTTGCGTCTGTGACACAGAAGTACTCAAGACTGTAGGTCCAAAGAAGGGTTACAGAAGCCTTCCAAATTTCTGAGGCATGAAAGAGGGAGGCTTCTATGCATACAGAGTCAGTTGAACAAAGGAAACATTAAAAAAATAAATTCCTTTGACTTGATTAGTGTTATCAAATATACTCAGTAGCAAGATTGCTGCAACTCAGTTTGTGCTGATGCCTCTCAGAGGCCAAAAGAGCACTCTCAGCTGCATTTCCAGTTCTCCTTCTCATCAGCATCTGAATACGTGTGTAGGGAATCCTAGGAGGGGGAAAAATAAAAATAAATCTAAAGATTTGTGTGCCCACTTCCCCTTCAGTTCTTACTGCAAGAGGAGGATCAAAGAACCCAAATGCTCCCTTTCACCCCCAGGGCCAGGTAGTGTTATACCATCCAAACACTACAGTGTTTTTCCACCAAGAGCTGCCCCAGCACATTCCCTCTTTGCAGTTTCATCTCTATTGCCACTAGAAGTTTTAATTTGAATGATCTTGCTTGGGAGGAAAAAGCAGCATCTTGGCACGAGGAACCCTCATCCTGGCTGCACAAGGCAGTCTTTACTACCACAGGATTTTCCTCTACCTGGGCTAGAAGTTGATGACGTCTCAGCTGTCTGTAGAACTGCAACACAGAAGGATCAGCTCTCACCACTTTTGGGTCAAAATCCAGAACACGGAGACCTGCAAGGCTACGAGCTCGGGAGAGGGCTACGTAAGCCTGCCCACTTTCAAAGACACGAGACAAGGAGATTTCCACACAGTCTAAGGACATGCCCTGTCAAAAACAGAGAAGCTGGTTACAAAAACAAGAACACCGTGCTGTATCAACCCTGACCTGACCTGTGAGTCTGTCAAAGCATACACCCTCACTGTACAGGCCTGATTTGAAAAAAAAAAAAAAGTAACTGATTAGAAGATGAAGGAAAAAAAAAAGGAAAGAAAAGGACAGTTTTGCACTGTCAAGCAGTTGCTGGCAGGCAGTAGGGTCCACTAACTCTCATGAGCCTCTTGTGTGAAACTCCACCAATCCCATATACCAAACAGAGCAGGGAAAGAAATCCTGCAGTTTTCACTCCTAGCAATTAACTGGAGGAGCAGCCAGGCTCAAGCAGTCCTCAGGCCGACCATCTGAGACAGAATTTGGGTTAGGCCTTGGCAGCCCTGTCTGCACCGAGAGATGTCCCAGGAGGCGGCGGAATTTACAACATGGACTGGTTTAAATAGTGGCATTGACTCCTGTACCTTCCTCAGGTAGACTAATGACAATGACTATCAGGGAAACACTACCCTGATCATCCCACAGAGTAAATAATGACACTTGTAGTCCCACACCAGATAGGGAGTTTGCAATACCCTGATCATCCCACAGAGTAAATAATGATACTTTGTAGTCCCACACCAGATAGGGAGTCTGCAGCACCCTAATGGAAACCCCAGGGTCAAAGATGGGCTAGTAATACTGCTGTAGACCAGCATCACAAACAGGTGCTGCCTTCTCTGCAGCTAAAGGCACGCATGCCCTAGAGCTCCCCCACAACACAGGCCTCAGTTTTGCTTCCTATTTTACCAGCAATGCAAGCTCACTCAGAAAATAAGGCTTATGGTGGTGTCAAAGCATATGAACACGTACAAGTGTACAAGAACACCCACCTGACTCTTGTGAATGGAAATTGCCCATGCCAATTTTAAAGGCAACTGTTGACGACTCAGATGAACTCCTGATGGTCCTTTGAAGACCCATTTCTCCATTTTAATGACCTGTGTGACCCCACAGAGAAATCTAACCTTAGGTAGTCCTGTAGGAGTGGGAGCAGAAGAAAAACATGGATTCATTCCTGACACTCATGAGCCAGGAAGCTAGTAGCCTAAGAACACTGTTTTTCCCCCTCAGGCCGACCATCTGAGACAGAATTTGGGTTAGGCCTTGGCAGCCCTGTCTGCACCGAGAGATGTCCCAGGAGGCGGCGGAATTTACAACATGGACTGGTTTAAATAGTGGCATTGACTCCTGTACCTTCCTCAGGTAGACTAATGACAATGACTATCAGGGAAACACTACCCTGATCATCCCACAGAGTAAATAATGACACTTGTAGTCCCACACCAGATAGGGAGTTTGCAACACCCTAATGGAAACCCCAGGGTCAAAGATGGGCTAGTAATACTGCTGTAGACCAGCATCACAAACAGGAGATAGGTGCTGCCTTCTCTGCAGCTAAAGGCATGCATGCCCTAGAGCTCCCCCACAACACAGGCCTCAGTTTTGCTTCCTATTTTACCAGCAATGCAAGCTCACTCAGAAAATAAGGCTTATGGTGGTGTCAAAGCATATGAACACGTACAAGTGTACAAGAACACCCACCTGACTCTTGTGAATGGAAATTGCCCATGCCAATTTTAAAGGCAGCTGTTGACGACTCAGATGAACTCCTGATGGTCCTTTGAAGACCCATTTCTCCATTTTAATGACCTGTGTGACCCCACAGAGAAATCTAACCTTAGGTAGTCCTGTAGGAGTGGGAGCAGAAGAGAAACATGGATTCATTCCTGACACTCGTGAGCCAGGAAGCTAGTAGTCTAAGGACACTGTTTTTCCCTGTCCTTCCCCATGTCAGTCTTTCATAAATAAAAATAAATAAATAAAATCCCACACCAAAAAACCTAAATCCTCACACACAGTAAAAAAGATGTCCTGAAATAACATTTGGTACCTACTTCAGCAGGAGACTTAAAGTTAAATAATTTATCAGTTGAGATGCAGAGAAAAAACACACCTTGCAGGTAGCAGAACATTATCCTGAGAAAAACAAAAAACCTCCCCAAAACAACACGACCTGCTTCAATATAACAGGCAGGAAATGCCTCCTCCCTGCTTTTCATCAAATTATTCTTAGCAGACAAAATTAACAAGTCATCAACAGTCAATGATAAATTCTTTTGGGTTTTTTCCTCTTCCCTCAATAAAAGGTCACGAAGCTTACTTACCTTTCTCCTCACTTTCAAATCCTACAACAACTCCTCGTGCCCCATTCACCAGCCCTTGAGACACATCCAAATTCTTAGCTAGCATCACCTACAGAGGAAGAGAAAAATCCCTTAGTTTCACACTGTCTTTACAGCCTGTTCAGCCACCTGCAGCTCAGCTTCGAGCCAGGAAGCACAAACACTGCAAGCTTGAGTGGCCACAGCCACATCATCCTAGTGCAGAATACAGGACTGTCTCTGATTTGATTGAAACTGTTTCACAGCCTTTTCTTCCTAGGATTCCCAGCTACATTATTCTGCAGCCCTGAACACTTCACTAGAGTTGCTTCTGTCCACAGCTGTGAGCTCAGATCCAGGGAACAGATTCCCATTGCCCAAACATCAACAAGGCTAGACATATATAAATTCTGGGAACACCCAGGGAACAACTTCCCAGGGGAAACAGTGCTGCTTCTGAGCACAGTCCTGCATCCTTTTCCAATCTGATAGCCCCAGCCCACAGCAAAGACTCCAGTCCTGCAAATTTGGCAATCTGTGCCGTACTCTTACAGGTCAGGAAGGTTGCTATACCTGGAGTTGAGACTGCAGGCAAGGACTGCCCATGCTTTCTGCAACCTGGAAGCTTCTAAACCTGACTGGAAATGTGTATTAAAGTCATAGTGGTCACCACTGTCCACAAGACATGGTCCTGTTCTCAAATCAAATCAATTCTCTGTTTGGTAAGATTCCAAGCGGAAAGGATACAAAGACTGGGCTAGAGTCTTCTGTTGGCCTGGCATAGCCATTCTGTACAGAACCTGCATCCTGTGCATTCAACTAGCCTATACATTTATCATTTATCTGCTATTCCTTTTTTCTTTTTTTTTTAAATGCCATTCGATCCCCTGGTCTTTCACAAACGTATGTACACACACTCACCTGAGCTCCAAGCTTTAGCTCAACTCTACCACCCACAGGACACTGAGCATCAATTAACTTCACCAGCATTGGGTCACTGTCCAGAGCCTCAAAAGTGTGCATTTCTCCTGTTAAGGAAAGAAAGATGTTGACAGATTGCAACCATTGAAAATATTCCACACAGCACTGCAGGAGGCTCAGCATTTATTTCTAGCAGCAATTCCTTTTTTAATATCTATCCCACTCTGCTGATAGGACATTTTCACACAAAACTTGTTACGTCTAACAGCAGAAAGCTCGCTTTTGCCTCTCTTCCCAACATACTTTCCAGAGCATGAGATGGCTCAAGAACCAAAGGCCAGCAGTAAATAGGAACTGAACAGTCACCATTTTGAGCATGTGAGCAGTTTAACTTGCTGCCAACACGAGATCTCCAAAGAGGAGCTCTAAAGAAGAATCCTAGGGCCAGACAGGGAGGCAGAAATTAACTAGCCCTCAGTTCAGATCATGGCTGGATAGAGCACAGCCTGAGGTGCTATAGAAAGAAGCAGCAGGGGAACAGAGGCTATAATGATGCACCCCATCCCACAGCAAACAATGACCTCACTGTGTATTATAACACCAAGAAGTAACTGTGGATTTCTAAGCAAAAAGCTGTGAAGCTTGTTTCCCCAGGCAGCTCGACTCCAATGCACACATCTTGGACTGCTGCAGCTGTGCATGACAAAACAGCAGTTCCTCCTGACACTGCTGTGTCCCCTTTGCATCCAGTCAGAGCTCAGCCCCAATGCCAGCAGCCTCCTTCAATGAATTCACCTGACAGCTGTTGCAAGCGGCGCTCATTAGTTATTTCTACATCATCTTTGTGGGTGCAGAGCCGTGTAGCCAGGATCCCATCACGCTCAGACCTGTTAGTAGCGGTCTGCATCAGCAGCCTGGTAACCTCTTCTGTGCACCTGGTAACCAGGAAAAAGGGATTATTGTTGAAAGCAATTGGGAGCAGCAGGTCTTGAGCAGCAGGAACCTCCACACGGCTAGATCAGGCTGTGCAAGTCCCAAGCCTCTAGAGAGAAGGGCAGAGGAAGATAACTACACAAAGTTGGAGAGCTGTTCAAGTCCCAGCCCTGGGATTCATTGCATTCCTGAACAGAAATTGCAAAGAGGGACCCTAGAAAGGATCCTTCCTTATCAGAGCAGCTTATATAAAACCTGCTTACATTAACTACAGAATTTATAGCTGTTGTCCTCAGCCACACATTCCTGATAGAGCACAGGGAAGAAGTGACAAACTGTTCTTTGCTCCATCAGTAGGGAGCAGGGATTACAAAGAGAGACAAGTTTCACCTCACCTGCCCAAACGGACTGCACTCAGGAGTGATACAAAGGTCTTGTCAGTCTGTCTCCGCACTTCAGTCAGCTCCATGTTTATGTGAATGCACTTCCTCCAGCTTTTTGCCTGGCAAATCATTCTCTTGTTAAGAAAGAGGCAGACTCAAAATACAAAGAGGAGTCTAGGGATAGGTTTGTACCTGGAAGCAGAACTTGGTTTCTTCATTAGCCTTACAGACTGGGGGAAGCTGCAAGAAGTCCCCACAGATGATTAGTTGAATTCCTCCAAAAGGCTCATCCCGTTTTCTGACTGCCCTGAAAGGGAGGGAAGAGAGGAAAAGCTCTGAATGCCCTCCAGGAACAGACCAGTCAGGTCTCAGAAGTTACCTAGTCTGTCAGTAACTTCAGACATACACCACCTGTAGTAAAAAATTATTATCCTCAGCTGTGTCAGAAGAGCTCAAATAATTAGGCAATGCTCTTACAAGATGCCCATTTTTCTTTACCTGCCCACCCCAAGTGTCGTTACCAGCTTCTTCGGTAGCTGCTGTACCACAACTGCTTCCCTCTACAAGAGAGCACTGCTGGGCACAGCACAGACAGACAGCTGTGTTCCAGACTCAGCTCTGCAGCCAACACTTGGCTCTGGAGATGGAAACAGCGACCTGAACAGCCACAGCAGACAAGCAGGGACATGATCAAAATCTATCTCAGGAGAAAGATCTGCCCAGATGCTGACTATGAATTCATGCTTCCTTCCAGTCCTGTGCCAGGGAATGCCTTGCATCCATGCATATAACCAGAGGAGGGAACCAGTCTGGAGATTTAGGGAAACTGACGACTGTTAGTTGTTTGACCTGAGCAATTGCTTACCTCGCCACTGCCTCCAGCCTGTCAAAGAACTTGCCGTCCACCATTGAGATCTCATCGATAATTAAGTGCTGGCAGGCCAGCCAGTGCTGGCGCACCCCAGGCCTCTCCGCCAGCTGAATGCACTGCTCCAGCGGCGCCTTCCCAGAGCCGATCCCTGGCAGGGGAGAAGCAAGCAAAGCTCTGGGAAGCTCCTGACTCTGGGATGGGAGGGAGAGCTCCCAGCCTGTGGCTGCCAGGCAGACCATTACCTGCAAAGGCGTGGAGCGTGGTGCCACCGATGTGGCACGCAGCCACCCCCGTGCTGGCTGTAGCGTAGGTGCTCTTCGGAGGGAGGGACCCCACGATCTTCTTCAGCAGGAACGACTTCCCGGTCCCTTGGAGGAGGGGGAGAAGCAGCAGGTGAGCAGCGAGGCCCGAGGGCTTCCCGCGGTGACAGCCGCCCGGCCCCCTCACCTGCGCAGCCGGTGAAGAAGATGCTCTTCCCGCTCCTCACAGCGCCCAGCACCGCCTCCTGCTCCGCCGAGAGCCTCGCCGGGGGCCGCCTCTCCGCGCGGGGCACCTGCGGGACGGGCGGCAGCGTCTTGTGAGACCGGGACCGGTAACCGGGGTCGCCCCCCTCACCCCGGGGCTCACCTCCGCCGGGCGCTGCCCCTGCTCCTCGCCGCCGCGGAGGCGGGCGGTGCCGCGCAGCACGTCTCGCTCCTGCAGCGGGCTGATGAGGGTGAAGGCCGGCGGCGGCCGGTGCAGCAGGCGGGGGACGCGCGGTGCGCCCCGCGGCCCGGCGACCACCTTGAGCCGCAGGAGGCGGAGGAAGCGGCGCAGCGCGTCCGGGGGGCAGTCGGAGAGCAGGACCTGGGCGCCACCCGGCCCCACCTGCACCGCCGCCCGCCCGTCGCCGGCGAACCGCGTGAAGAGCCGTACGGTGTCACCGGCCAGCGGGAAGCTCCGCACCACCCCCCCACTGCCGCCGCCGACCACCCGCAGCACCGGCTGCCGCAGCTCGTTGCGGCCCAGCAGCACCAGCGCTCCCCGCATCACGCGGCGCCGCGGGGCCTCTCCCCCCGGCAGCGGCTCCTCCACGGCCACCGTGCAGCGCAGCTCCGCGGCCTCCATCCTCTCTGCCTCCGCACCGGCCGTTCAAACCCGCCGCGTGCGCCCGCCGCCAATCAGCACCGGGGGCTTTAACTCGGCGGCCAATAGGAGACGGGAAGAACGGAAGCGCACCCGCCGGGCCCAATCAGCAGCCTCATAGGTGACCACGTGAGGCGTTGCCTGGCAACAGGACGCCGCGTCGCCCGGAGAGCCCATGGCCGCCCGCAGCGGGAAGAAGGAGCTGCCGGACCCGGTGCAGCAGAACCAGCTCCTGTGCGAGCGGGTGCGGAAGGAGCTGCAGTGCCAGAAGCTGTACACGCAGTACAGCGTGAACCCGCTCCACCGCGGTGAGGCGGCCCTGCGGGCGCAGAGAGCTGGGGCTGGAAGCCCCAAGGGCAAGGCGCGGGGCAGGGGGCAGGCTGCCTGAGGCGGGGACCCGAGGAGGCCCCGGAGCATTCAGCTGCACGTCAGGGACAGGCAGCTGCACCCAAGAACATCAGCAGCAGCCAGTGAGAGGGGTAGAGATAGAAGGAGCAAGTGGTGGGCTTTTCTTTTGCCTAAGGAACCAGTCTGCACACTCAGAGAGCAGAGACATAACCAATTTGCCCAATTAGGTGGTGCCTTAGTAAAGGTGTAGAAGTGAGGCAACTATTTAGGATCTGGGATCCATAGATCCTGAGGAACAGAGCTAACGTGGGGTAGAGAGCCTCTCAACACTACAGCCTGATTCTTCAGCCCCTGGGCTGACTTGTACCTGCCAATTCAGAGTCATAGAACATCACAACCTGTGCGAGCACACACAGGTGATGTGAATAGAATCACTCAGGCCTACCATTTACAATTAAACAAAATTAAACAAAAACAAACCAAAGGAAAAGAATTTCCTGACACTTGCCACTCTGCAGGCCACTACTTGGATGGGGTGGAACTTTGTTGTGATAAATGTGGGCAGCATCCAGCAACAGAGCCTTTAGCATGCTTAAGGCCCTTCCCTTTCTAGAAGTTGCTATTAGTCAGTACTCTAACGCGTTTTCTTCTGTTGACATGCTGCTCTTCCTTTACAACTTCAGTGAAGCAGCTGGGCCCAGCCTGGGGAATAACCAAAAGGAACACTTGCAATGATGGATATTCTACACCTGGCTGCAATGATAAATTCATACTAAAGTAATCCACCTGCACCATTTCTTTCCAGTTCACGCGATCACCAGGAAGCCTATGTCTTGGCATGAAAATACAGAAGAGGTGGCAGATGGTAAGACATCTCTGAACATCTTGTGATAATTACATAAGAAAATGACTAACAAATAAGATTTTTAAATTCCAGTTAGTTTAAAAAATGACATACATGGAAGCACCCCTGTGACAACAGAAGAAAGTTAAATTCATTCATTTTTGTTAAATATAAGGCAGGTTTTTTCCACTTTAAGGCCCCTTCCCATTACTTTTCAGTATGGGTACAAGCTTGCATTCATGCAATTATGCTTTTATTTTTGTTTTTATTCATCACACTATAAAATTCTGCTTAAGAAGCTACACCTCTTTCATGGGAAAATAAAAAAAAAAAATCTAGAAACATGTTTTATACATACATGTTGTGCATCATTGCAGATTCTACCTAACCCCTGCATACAGTAAAGTGCTGAAATAGCTGCTCAGTCTTGCTTTAGAGCTCTAATAACAGGAACCCTTATAGCAACCGCTCACATTCCTAACATGCCAATTTTGTCTGAAAACCTTAATGGTTGGTTAAGGTTGGCCTGCTCTAGTCAAGGATTAGGGGGGAAAAGAAAACTGAAAAAGGAAAAGGCAGCATGTCTCAGGCAACTGAGAAAGATGAGAGCTAATGTGGAGTGCTGGTTGGTACTAGGGGTGGTATAGGAAAAGGAAGATGCTGCAATACAGTAGACAAGAATGACAGAATTAACAGGACAGTATAGGCGGGCAAATCTTGAAACTTTATCAGGATACATTGGAATAGAAATGTCATCCTGCATTGATCATGCACATAAGCACAGAGGTTGCCTCCAACCTTCACTTTCCTGCCATTGCTTGGACAGTATTAGGATGTCCCATTCTAACATGCATCTACAGGTGATTTCTTTAAATGTACTTTCTTTCATTTGTATTTGTGTCTCTTAAACCAACAGAGAAGTTTCTGAATCTTTTCCACCATGCAGCACTGGAGCCAACAAAGAAGTATTCAGAGCCACAAACTGAGAGCCAGGAAATTGGCTGGAACACAACACCTTTGGTGAGTAGGGTGCTTAAGGACTCAGCTCTTTGCAGGATTCAGAAAGGCTCAGCCCATCACACTGAAAGATGTTCATGCAAGAAAATAATTTGTGACAAATGTGGAAAACAGGAATGACTAGGAATGAGCAGAACTGCTCATTGACAACAAGTTTTTAAAGTGTATGCCTAAGACAACTCTTCACATTGGCACAGGCTGGTGAACACAGAAATAGCAGACTTCCCCTGAGAAACCTGCATGCAAAATAGCTACAATGACAGTCGACCCCGAGCATATTGCCAAATACCACACATGTATTCACGGCTGTTTATTAAAGCATTCAGCCATGAGAAATGGCGTAGTGAGCAATGTGAAGTGACATACTTAAGTACTGTGAAAAGAAGTGTGCTGCTGTACAGTATCTTTCAAACAAATTGCAAGCAGAACCATAAAATTAATAATTAGCTAAGTAAACCCGAGGCAGAATACACCAGTGAGGATTCATTTGGGAAAGCATGAATAAACAGGAGGAAAAGAAATGTTATTAACAAGCTGAGACATCAATCACATCTCACAAACAAATAGCTGTGACAATGACTGACTTCACAGAATAATGTTTCGAGAAAGGCAAATGAGGGCCTGATTAAATTTGGCATGTTACAAAGAAAACTAAGATAAATAAGAAAATATGATCGTCTTCTGCAACTTTTCCTATTACACTTCACGACAAGGCTAGAGACAGACAGCCCAGCAGGGCTTTACACTGTTAGATACTGCTGGCAGGATTAGGCTGGCAGGAAAAAGGTAACTAAATTTGCATGTAGGGAAGTGAGTTAAATTTTTGAAGTCAGGACTTATGATGCTGTTTCATATGTCAAGTTTTCCTTTTTCTCCAGGTTCTACTGTAATGAAGCAGCAAACATTCTCAAACAAGAGGTACCCTACTCATTTGTCATTTGGACATTTCTCAATAGCAAGAGCACCATGCATCACTCTTCTCAGGAGAGACTACTACTACTAATTCTAGTAAAAGCACATGACTGTTCATCATTTTTCTTTCACAGATTCAGATCGACCGTAGTGATCGCAGATTCTACTTCCCACGCCAGAAAACTGAGATCACTAAATAAACAGCTGCCATGGAGCATGGGGAGGAGCAGTTGGAGAACCTGCAGTAGTAGAGTGGCAAAGCCACACAACTTAAATAAAAGTAGTTAATGACACATAATATGTTGGGCTTTGCTTGTTGTTAGGTGAGTCTGGTAGATTTCTGGCAAGGGAAGATGGCAAGAAAAGGGAAGAGATAACCTCAGTCTGTCCAGATTTGCAGCCTGACAATAGTTATAGAAATAAACCCATTTCTAAGATTGCTGCATTTGTCTCACTGCTGTTTCCAAATCCATTTACAGAAATAGTCTAAAAAACACTAACATCTTGACAGGCTTCAGATTTCTTATTCTGACACCAGCAACGTGACCCAGAACTCAAGTTCACCATGGTACATGTCACCAGTAGCTGTGGAAAAAGCTGTCAGAATGAAGGGAACAAAGCGTAGGCTTCAGCCACCATTCGTAACACAAGCAAACATGAATTAGACACAGTTCTGTGCAAACCATTTAATGTGTTCACACACCAAAGGTTTAAGTAGAAAACAACCCTTCAACAAAACAGATGACAAGAAATTAGTCATAAGGCACTAGTTTCCACTGACTTCTTTTCTTGCCGCTTGGAAGCATCCAGCTTGCTCCAGTTAGCTGCTGGATGACAGCAACAGCGTATCTTGCAACACACAGACACACAGGAACCCCACTGGGGAACACAGTTCTCTTATCGTGCTCGGTTCTTCATTTTCTGCCTTGCTCTCTTTCCAGGTCTCTTCTGAAAAAAAAAAAAAAAAAAAAAAAAAAAAAAAAAAAAAAAATTACTAGAATTGTCAGTTTGAAAGAATTAGTCCAGATGCAGAATGAGGAAA